ACCCCACACTGTATCACAGCAGTGACCTCTGCAACAAGCCCCAAGTATGGGTGCCAGTTATATCAAATGTTCGGCTCTAGCCACAGGGCTTTCCAGCCCTCCCTTAGAGATGACCTCTGAGAATCCTCCAAAGACCAAAGGGAAAAGAGATCACTCTAAAGTTCTCTTCTCACTCCAACCTAGCACTATCTTCTGGGCCGGGAGCAGACTCCCGGTGACTTACATTAATGATGGCGTCTGTCTGGATATAGTCTATGTCCGAATCCTTCAGCCCCAGCTCTTTGCCGCCTCTCTGTGTGGTGCTGACAATCCCCGCAGTCACCGTATCCTGCAGAGAAAACGGGCTGCCCAAAGCCACCACAAACTCTCCAGCCCGGAGATCCGATGATCTTCCCAGCAGCAACACAGGAAGGTCGGTCTGCATGTGTGGGCGTGGAGCAAAGAAAAGAAGAGCACAATCAACCAGGACCTGCTGACCGGTGGCACTGTCCCAAACCAGCGCCCTCCCTCCCGCACGGGGCCTTGCCTTCCTTCTTCCTCAGATTCAGGTCCCACCGTTAAACTCTCCCTATATTAAGATAATTGAGATCATCTCTAAGACTGGAACTTATAGTTCCAGCTGCTAGAGAGGTGGCTTAGAGGTTAAGAGCATGTACTGCTCTTCCAGAGGATGCAAGTTTGGTTCCCAATAGCCATGCTGGGCAGTTGACATCCATCCATCTAACTCCTGCTCCAGGAATACAACTTCTTCTTCCAGCCTCCATGGGTACCTTGCACTCACTCGCACAGGCACATACACAAGTATACATCATTAAAAATAAAAAAAAATTGTAAATCGAAGTTGTATAGAAATTACTATTAATAAATGACCAGTGAAATGTCTGGCGTCAGCCAGTCACTGCACACCATTCCAGCTCAGACCTTTATCATCAGAGTGAAGTCACGAACAGGCTAGAGATCACCCAGAATAGCACTTCTCAAACTGTACCGTGTACCTAAAACCCCCAGGAGCTTATCAAAATGCAAGTTCTGGGAGACCTGGGTGGGTCGGAGGTTCAGGATTTCTAACAAGCTCTCAGATGCAGACCACACCTTGTACAGCAAGGACCTCAAAGTGTAATTAGCAGGTTTGAGTGCATTGCGATTGATTTCCCCCAAAGCTGCATCTGTTGAAGAAGGAATCATAGGAGGAATATGGGGGGGGGGGTGCTACTAGACAATTAATAGAGATTGTTGGGGATTGATGGGTAACAGAAGGAAAACCATAGACAGGGGAGTGAAATCCCTTAGCTAGGCCTCCTTCCATGAGGCTCTCAGCCCCGATTTCCTGTTCCCCATGGCTGAACACCTGGCTCTGGACTTGGGCTTCTCATCCATGCTATCTGGTGGTAGTGACAGGTCAAAGGGACTGGAACCAGGCTGGGTAAACCCTTAGACCTGATGAAGCTTACAAGGCCTTGTGAATGGGCCTAGAATCAAGCTAGGGGTTGGGCAAGTATTGGAGATGTACATGATCTCCTCTTTCACACCAGCGTATGAGTTCTGCAGAAGGATTAGCTACCGTAGACCTCAGGTTGGAGGAGGCCTATTGGCCCAAGTGGGCCTGAAGATCTCGAAGCCCGAGAACTAAAAAACTGGGACAGTTTGCCAAGCCAAGCTGCTGAAGCCAAGGCGGATAATGCTGGGGTACACCCAGGCTGATGCGGGAACACCCTGGGCATTCTCTTTGGAAAGATGTTCAGCCAGACAACCATCTGATGTTTTGAAGCTCTGCAACTCGATTTCAGAGCTGTGTAAGCTGAATTTCAAGAAAGGAGTGAGGCTGGGCGGAGGCGGCGGCGGCGGCGGCAGCGGGGGACGGCGCACACCTTTAATCCCAGCACCTGGGAGGCAGAGCCCGGCGGATCTCTGTGAGTTCGAGGCCAGCCTGATCTGCAGAGTGAGATCCAGGACAGGCACCAAAACTACACAGAGAAACCCTGTCTCAAACAAACAAACAAACAAACAAACAAACAAACAAAAACCAAAACAAAACAAAAAGAACGGAATGAGTGGGAACCTGGAGAGTTTGTCTCTGCGATTTGAAACCCTGTAACAGATCAGGTTCATCACAGAGCAGGCTAGGCTGGAGGGGGTGTGGTCCAGCCTGGTGATGTAAGCAGACAATCAAGCACTGACTGCTCCCAAAGGACCGAGCATGAAGCTGCAGGGTCCCTTCCTTGGCGGGCAAGGGGGAGCTGTGTCCTTTCCTCTGTGCCTATCCCTGTTGGTACCCCAGGCTGCAGGAGTCCGGACTTCACCCTGCTCTGGCATCCCTTTGCTTGTGGTTGAGCCTTTCCTTCCTTCCCTGCCCGGACTCTGGGTTCTCCTCCACATTCCAAACAAGTCACCCGCCCTGCCCAGGGACGGGGGTAGAGCAAAGGAGGTAGAAGAGAAGCTGGGGTCTGTACCACAGCAGCTTTGGGGATTGAGTTCTTCATTTACTGAGTGAGGGATTGGGAACAACAGGTAGGGGGCAGAAGTGTCAAGGGGGTGGCTGAGGGAATGTGAGGTTCAGTGATACTCTAGATTTTAATCTCCACATCACTCATCACTTTGTTCTTAAAAAAAAAAAAAAAAAAAAAGAAGAAGAAGCCTGGGACACCAGGGCTGGGGGGAGAAGAAAAACAGGCACTACATACAAAGAAAAGGCATGGTGAAGGAATACAAGAGAAAATATCAGCAAATACACTGGGAAATGGCCAAACGTGCGGACTCGGACTTAGTTCTCAACTACTCACATTGGGCTCGATCTTAATCAGCGCGAGATCCAGTTTGTGGTCGATGTCTTTGACAGTGGCTTCATATTGGGCCCCATTCTGGAGCTCCACCTGGATCCTCTGGTGGTTGGTGAGGACGTGGGCATTGGTGATGATGAGCCCATCCTCAGACACTATGAACCCAGAGCCACTGGAGGCAGGGATTTCCTTGTGGGTGAGAGGTGATCTGTCCCAGAACAAAGCAATAGTATGAGCAAAGGGCAGGAACTGGGGAATCTCGCCATTGTTTGTGAGTCCCAGGAAGCTTCGCATTTATCAACCATATCTCCAGGAGTTTTCCCAAGCATGGTCCCTTTCCACTTCCATCCTCTCCGTGTATACGAGAGCCACACTGGCATGTCCTGGCCATCTCTCTTGAACACAGCTCAGAGCTGGGTCCAGGGATACTACTTCCTCCTTCCAATCGGAAACCTGTGGGTCATTCGCTGTGAAGAGGCCAAACCTGGTGCTGACACTGTACAGGCTCACACTACTGCCACGGTGACAAAATCTAGCTCTTAGGTTCCACTACTGATTGGCGTTAACTAACAGATCAAGTTAATTTTCTGTCGATCCGGGTTTCCTTGCACTCAGGTGACAGCTAGGGCTATACCAAATACTGACTAGCTCCTACAATCAGCCTTAAGTTTTGCTTGTAGGGTATGTGGGAGAAAGAAACACCAGCCACCAGCGTGCACGGATGTAGCTTGGATCTAGAAACCAGAATCCTTGTGCTTGGCTCTTTGCTTTTTAGCGAAATAACTCTTAACAACTTTTCTCCCGGTACTGGGCTGGACCCTGAGGTCCCCGCGTACTCCGCACGAGCTCTGCTGCCCAGCTCTACCCCAGCCAACTCTTTGAACCTGGGTTTCCTCACAGCGATTTTTAATGAACAGACAACACTATCAGGTGGGGTCTTTGGCCCTCGGTGTGACCTTTACCTGCGGAATATCTGCAAGTGAACCACAGATGGCGCCACCTTCTCCACCACCGCTGCGATAAAGTTGTACTTCCTTCGGAGCCGCCCGGCACTTCTGGTCCCTGTGAACAAACGGTCCACCGTGAGGGCAGTGGGATCCTTGCTCCCTGGATGCAGGTGTCGCATCTCAAAGTTCCCCAGCATCTCCCCGTCCCCCTTCCTCCGCAGGTTCTCCAGACTAGGAGATGAAAGCACCCGGCCTGTCATACCAAGGGGAAGAAAGGGAGAAAGAATCCCAGTGCCAACTAGTAGGGAGCGCATTAACCAAGCAAGAACACCGGGAACCAACCACCACGACAGGTTGAATCCCTGGAGCTGGCGAAGGAGGACCGACCCTGCGAGCGCGCGCGAATCAAGAGCACCCACTTCATCTTGGGTTGGGGTTGGGGTGGGGGTGCCCCACGCCTCGCTCACCTGGGTCCCCGCAGCCTCCCTTCTGCACCGGCACGGCCGGGGGCGAGCCCCGCAGGCGCGCTGCTCTGTTCTCCTTACGGAGCGCGCACAGACTGGGGTAGGTGCGCCCGTCGCTGCCGCACACCGCCGCGCCCTCCACGCCCTCCACGCAGCCGCAGGTGCCCAGCCATGCGCCCCCCGCAGGCTCCCGGGAGAATGGGGCCCCGCAGCGCAACCCCGAGAGGCACGGCCGGCCCTGCGCCCCGCCACACTCCTGACCCTCCGCGGCGGCGCACACGCGGCAGCAGCCGCAGCGGTCGGGCACCGGCGCCGTGCCGGCCGAGCAGGTGGGCAGCGGCGGGCAGCGCGTGGCATCGCAGACCTCGGGGCAGGGCATCGAGACTCTGGACCTCCTGGCCTCCGCCCAGGGAACAGGCACGGCTGGCAGCAGCAGCCACAGCAGGAGAAACTGTGCCCACACAGCGCACAGCGGCTGGAAGCTCATGGTGCACCCTGCCCTCCCGGATTCTACTTTTCCAGTTACTCCGCTCGGGAGTCACAACTGGCCTAAAATGAGCCACACTTTTTCCCTGGCCTGGGTGCCGCCTCTGCCAGCCTCCAGACTTTATAAAGGACAGCATCTGGCTCACTTCTGCACACACACACACACACACACACGCACACGTACACACACACATCACCCACCACCCATGCCACCCACCCGTAAGCGGTGAAGGGAGGGTCTACTCCGAAACCAGTCACGGGGCAGGTGACAAACGTGACCACCCACCCACGGCCACGAGATCTGACCAGGAAAACAAACAACCAGATTTCATATTTCACATGTTTTTTTTTATTATTACAAAAACAAGCAACCGAACCGTTTTAGAAAATTACGTTTTGCTACATACCAATTAGGAAATCAGACAACCTACGAAGCTGGAGTTTCCATGCACTCAGCTCAGTGCTTTCGGAGGTGTGTTTCACACTGGCTCAAACGGGACGTGCCACACCTTCATAAACAGAGGAGCAAGGGGGTCACGCTGTGTGTTTTCGCCAAACATTTACTTTATTAGGAGCCTACCTAGTATGGGTGACTGTCATTGACTCCGGCAGGCAATAACACACAGAGAAAACGGGAGAGTGAGGAAAACAGATTTTAGAGGAAAGAAAAAAAATTTTTTTCAAAGTTGAAGAGGTGACATAGGAACCTCAATTTCCAAAATGCTGCCATTGGCTACCAGATGACTGTTTATTTGGTTAACACTGAAAACATCAAATTCGCCGCTCACCAACTGATCTGTTATTTAGAGTCATTTTAGTCCCAAAGAAAACACATTTATGTTCTAAAAAGGAGGAAACAAAACCAGTTTTCTTCCAGTAAACTAAGATGCTGGACTTTAAATCTTCCCCAGGAGCTCAGCATTCTACTTGGGGGTAGGGGTGTCATTCCACTGCCTTGTCCTGAGGTCCCTTCTCTGGCTGTGGTTCCATATCCTCATCAGGGTTCACAGAATGAGAAAAACACAGAATTTTTGCCATCACCTGACCTTGGTAAGCAGGTCCATCAAACCTCTCGAGGTTTCAGGTGCCGAGAACACTTCCTCAGAAGCCTTGTAGAGGGACCCAACCCACAAGACTGCTTTTGTTCCCCCTCCCCCTAAAAAGTAGTACCTTTTATAATTCAGAAATCCTTTCTGATTTATCCACAACATTTGCTTAACTACAAACCCACATTGTATCACACCTTGTTCCCCCCACAGTGTTCTAGTTTATACACTGAAAACTAAAAGTGTATGCACTATCTTTGGCTCACATTAAAATACTGTGATAGGCTGGATATGGTGGTACATGCTTGTAATCCAAGCACTCAGAGGTGGGTTGGAGTCAGAAGGATTACCAGTTCAAAGCCAGCTTGGACTACATAGCAAGACTCCAGCAAAAACAAATTCAAAAGTGGAGAGGGGTGAGGGAGATTAGTATAAAACTGGTCAGAAATCCAGACAGAAAGAGAATTCTGAAATAAGAATTGAGAATTGAATGTTTCTGGGTTTCACAAAAGTAATCATATTTTCCCAACACCAAAACTATATAACAATGTTCTAATTTGGAATTCCCACGTGTTGGCCAGTTAGAGTCAATGAAATTCTGTACTTTTCCTTTATTTACATAATGTAAACTGCATTGGGTTTAATCTAACAACAGTCTCAAAATACTTAATGAAACCTATCAGCTTTCTATAATGACCAGTTAATGCAGCAGTAATAACCTAGCAAACAGTTTGTAGGAGCAAGACAGACAGATTTTGCAATTTAAACACCAGGAGATGACATCATCTCCATGAGTCAGGGAATGTGCAAAACCCGTTCTGGAGTTCCTAGCTTATTTTCATTAGTTCCTCATCTCAGACTGAGCAATTCTGTTGAGCAGCCAAAGAATTTTCTAGAGAAAGATTTTAAGTTGAAACCAGAGACAAAGGACTTTAAGAATTTGGACTGGCTTTTGAAGTAAGTTGTAACCTTGAGCACTCATAAATAAATAATCCCCAAAGCAAGAGTTTATGAAAACCAAAATACACAAAAGTTTTTTTAAAAAATAATAATAAAGTGGGGAGGGGAAAAGATGGAAAACAGAAAAAGAGACAGCAATCCAGTGGTTTTCATTTTTTAAACCAGGAATAAAATAAGGCCAAAGTTAAAGTGGGGGATAGCTCCCACACACTGAGCTCAGGGATCTTCAGTGTGGCACTGGCTTCAGGGTCCTAGTCACATTAGAAAGAAAACACTTCCTTTCACACTTACGAAACTTTATGCCTGTTTTTCTTTTGCATTAACTATGGACACAAAGATTGGCTTAAATAAAAATGCCTCCTAGTCTCTTCTTAGAGCTACAAATTCCTAACTAAGATATACACCTAACTTATCCAGTGATAAATGTTACACAGATAGGAATGAGCCACATCTCTCCTTGTGGAAACAGCCCAAAGTCTCTGGGAACACAGTTCACTGAAGGCTGATAGACAAATGCCCCCAAAGGCAATGGAAATAGTATCTTGGCCAATGGAAAAACCACACCCTAAATTTTGGGTAGAAATGCAATCTTCCAAATTCTTCTAGAACCCAGCAAATCCTAGCCAACAATTCATCCACTGGTTCAGTTTCTTCATTCCCAGTTTCTATTCCATAAAAATATAACTATTGAAAAAAGTTCATCTTTGCTGTTTCTCCATTGGCGAGTACAGAGGATCTTATCAGATGCTGGGGTTCCACCCACTGTATGCATGGCTTCATTTAACAGGCAACTTAAAGTATAAAAAGCAAGTCCATCAGCAGGGTGCACAATATACAAGCGCTTAACGTTAGACAAATGTCGACTCATTCCGAAAGAGCTCCGAGACAGGGATGCAAGATTCTATCCCAGAGCAGAACCATTCTCCTGTCTGGAAAACATGAACCAAAGATGCTTCCTGAAATTAACAACCATCCATCCCCTCTCAGTAGCTGCTTTACATTAAGCCTCTGAGATAGAGATTGTATACACACACGGAGGGGGGGGGGGATATCACTCCACACTTAACCATCATACATACTCAAATAACATGGTTTCAAGGGGAGTGTCTGTTCTGGTCTTCACGGTCCTAATATTTTAACACTAATAACCCTATCCTCGGGGCCTGACATAGAAAACAGACTGGTGGCTCTGTCACCCAAATCTAGAGCATTTGGGGTCACAGGGAATCAAGAGGACAGCATAATTCTCACAAGTGGGAGTTACGCTATGGCAGTTTAATTAGCCCTCATGACTCATAAGAGGCCCCCTCTCCTCCCCTGGGAGGTGTCCTGAGGGAACTGCCTGGGAAGACATTCTCAAGTTCACCCTTCACTCCCCAGATTCTAAGGCCACCTCTGAGATGGATCCCAATCAAGCTGTAAGCTGAGTCTCCCGCACCTGATGCCTTTCAGTCCTGATGGTAACCATTTGCCTGATCCCCACACTTCAGCCAAAACAAAAAACAAAAAAAAAAACAAAAACGAGTGGATGAAACCAGCTCTTAGCCTGAGATCCTGTAGATAGACTGGACACAAAACCAAGAAGATAAAAGAAATACAAGGTGGAAGGGAACTTGGTTAGGGGTGAAACTAGACTCCAACTACCCCCCCCCCAGACAGGAAGTATTAAAACTAACCCCTCACTAGGAAACCTGGGGGGAGAGGGACATTCAAGAGGCAATGGAGTATGCCTGTGAGTCTAACCTAGTGACTTCCTCCCATTAAATACACTGTGTCGATAATCACAAAAACAAAAGCCATCTGGATGGGCCCCTCCACGGTGAGTGCCATTAGCCTCTGTCCTCCGCCACGGCCGAGAAAATGAGTCACAGCGCCGCTGTCTCTCCTGCACCCCACGGCACTGCACGTCACACGTCAGATGTCACACGTCAGAGGTCCGTATGTTTTCGTCGTCAAGGTTGAATACAAAGGGCTTCTCCTTGGGGTGCTGGGGCTCCGACCTGTGCCTGACTCGAGAACCAGCCAGCACCCCGTCCCCAGGGTGAGGCATGAATAAAGAGTCCTCCGGAGCACTCTCGGCCGACGACAGCTTTTCCCCAGCCTGGGGGACCGGTGTCCAGGGCTGCCAGGCGGAGGCCACTGAAGGGGCCTTACAGAGAGCCCTTTTTTCCTCCGCCGCTGGCCTCCTCCTCAAGATGGAGTTAGGCCCGCTCGCGAGGCTGGAACCTCCAGGCCGCGTCAAAGAAATGGATCTAGAAAAGGATGGCTCCTAAAAGCAGAAAGAAAAGAAAAGGACAAAATAAGGGGTTTCCCCTCGGAGTATTGATCCCAAAGTCTCAAGGAAAGTGCCCATCCTGGATCACCAACTCAGACAGGGACACTGGGCGACAAAATTCAAGTAAGTGTATCGAAGTGGGGCGGA